CCCATAATTACCTTCATACTTCTTTCTGCTTGCTATTGTTATTTTTATGATTGCAATTTTTACTTTAACCTCATCACCAGCAGCAGTATAGAGTTATACACTCTTTCAATTCATGTGATCTTCAAACAAGAAGTGAGATATTATTGACCTGTAGATCAGAGTATGACTATGAGAATCCATACCAGTTGTCTCCCACTCAACTGGTCATCAACAGAAAAGAGTGTACGCTCCAGGGAGCATATCCGCATTGAAATTAAAAAAAATCATACTCATACTTTTTCTTGATCTCGTACTTGTACAGTTATCAATGGTTGTTATTAATGGCAACCACAAAATCAGTATCTGCCAAGTGCCATTTCACCAATTAATGTAGGCTGTAAGGGGTTGCTTCTCTGCTTTCTTACTCAGAGGTCAGTGTTATAGGATTAGTAGAACAAAGAAATTTTTCTGATTTTCCATTGTAGTTTCATGATATAAATAAATTCCAGGACATATCAATGGTGTTTCTATTCTTTTTTGATATTTAAATTGTGCAGGTTATCTGGGGTGGTAGATGGCAGAATGGTGCTTCTGCAACCACTGGAGAGGAAGTGGAGCAAATAAACAGCCATTTCTCTCGACTAGGCACCAGTACTAAGCATATGCTTCCTGAAGGTATCTTAAGTTATAAATGTAACTATTAACATCTAATTTGTAGGTTTTCTTGTCATTCAGCTTTAAGTATTACCATACTTACACCTTAAGCATCTACTGTTGTCAAGTTAAGAAAAAACAGGTTAGAAACATAGTAGCACATACACTGGTTACAGCTCTTAGTTGCCATTCTTTAAGTGTTGGGGGTACTGAGTAAGTCACGCTCAGCTTAATTGAAGGTTTGCTGTTTTTCCACTTTTGTGCCATAATTTTCAGTAGAAGGTTTTTTCTTTCAACGCCAAAATGTAGTCAAGTATATATATATATAAATTTTACATTTACGAATTGTATAGAATGGAAACTTCTGAAGCAAGTCAAATAAATGTCTAATTTTTTGATTTTTCTCTCTTTTTTTTTATTTGTAGACCTCTTTTTTTTTTTCTTTTGTCATACACAGGACGAGAAGAATTGCTCACAGAGCATGCCCTGCAGTGGAATCGTAAAAAGGTTGAAAGATTGCCTCAGTCTCTGGCAAAGCGATACACAAAGGTATAGGTATCATTATTTTAGCAGTAAGAAGCTTGTGTGGAATTCGCTTTAAGCCCAGTTGAAGTATGACAGTTTAACCTTTTTTTTACGTAATAGAGAAATCTGTTACTCTTGGAGATATTTCCCTTTGTGGTTTCAGTTGTATTTTTTATAGATCATAGTTATTCAAGACATGCTTGTAACTTGTTTGTTAACACGTTGGCAGTGCATTGAGGGTAAATCAGTGTACTGTTCATTTTGCTAAGCATTTTAAGAAAATGTTGTATACCCCTCATGCACTTAGTGTCAAGTCTTGCCTCCACAGGTGAAGATGCAGCTATCCACCATAGAAAGTGAACTTTCAGGGATCCTCAAGGAGCTTCATGTTTCAGCTGATGTGATGTCTTCCTGGAAGGAAGAGATCTATCGTGCTGCCCAGAGTAAGATTTTTGTTGGTACTTAGCTATCACTCCTGCCAAGTTAATAATGGTATTACTGAATATTTTCCACATTATTATGGAGATCTAAAGAAGTCTTTTTTTTTTAATGTATCACTTTGCTATTAACATGAACTGGTATTCTATTATTCTACATCATTGCTATTCTTGGAGAATTTATTATTGCTATATCGACACATACTTACCTTCTTTTAATACTCTGTTTCAGAAGAGCAGAGTTCTCAGTCCTCCATAAAAGTAATTATTTCTTACCGCAAGAAAAAGAGTTTTTGATAAAGACATCACAATCTCAAACCATGCCAACAAGGCTTAAGAACCTGTGTGAAGCTGCCAAGGAGTTGTATGGCCAGCAGTATGACCGAGTAGTTGCAGGATCTTCTGCTGGTCATGAAAACGTGGCATGCACAAATGCTGGAGAAGTAGTTAGTGATGGAGAAAAGATTTTGGTGGAAAAAGTCTCTACCCATATAAGAAATCGGATAGAACGTCACCACTTCTCAATTGCTCAGATGGTGTACAACATGGCAAGGCTGGGAGGTTAGTTCTGACTAGATATATACAGTAGAGACCACGCTACTCAGACACTCATTTCCCGGGGGAGAGGAAGAACAATTTTTGTTAGTGGGGGTTTGAGTTAGCAGGGCAGATACTCTTCAAAGACAGTAAAGACCTTGGTTAAATAAGTTTTCAACATTTTTTTTTTAACCTTCAGGCTAATTGGTTAATTCCTGTTATCATAAAGATTAAAGATACCAACCACTCAAGCAACTGACTCTGAGTGGACTCTTACTGAGTTCTAGTTACTAGGGTTAATTAATTTGGATGACATTTGAGGCAATGGAAGACAAAACTAGTTCGAGTTTGCAGGGAGTTCAAGATAGCAGATTGTAAATAACTGACAAAAATAGGGTCAAAACTATGGAGAATTAAAATTTGTTCAAGTGAATGGGGAATTCACGTTAACTAAGTCCGAGAAAGCGGGTTTCTACTTTTATTTTACCCAAATTAGTGTCAATGAGGTTTATTACCTTTATCATTATCGAATAAGTAATCCTACGCAGTTTACTTGGCAATGACATCTAGACAATGTCCAAACGTTGCTTATTACGGTAGCTGATTTTAGTGTTAAATTATTATCATTATTATTATTATTTTTATACCTTGTTACAGTTTGCACGAGAAATAAGAGAATAGAACAGAAAAATCTGGCTATTCTTTGTTACCCCCCCCCCTACAGTCATTTATTTTATAACCGTACCTACTAGACTTTTTTGTATATTAGATTCCAGTAAGCAGAGGGCAAGGATTCGGCGAAAAGTTTCCATTGAGAAGGAATTGTTGCAGAAGGTTGTCACAAAGTATAATCAACTGGTTGGGGAAAGTGCCAAGGTTTCCCTAGAAAGCATCGAGAATGGAGTCTTCCCGTGGCATGTAACTGTTAACTCAGTGGATGACCGTGGTAAGAACAACTGCTAGTCCCGCATTTTTCTTTAGTGATTATGTATTTGCCTCACGGTTTTAAGCTATTGCTGATCAATGCTTATCTATCAGTTGCATTATTTGACAACTGCAAGATATGCTAGTAGCCCGTCTTTCCATGTTAACAAGTTTTCCTACAGTTTTCTGAAACGCTGTTTTCGATTCTGTTTAGATTTGTAGCTTTCACTGGAGTAGTTTTATTTGTTTGTTGTTTTGATGTTAAAACCACCTTTATTTGAACAATGTAGTTCCTCGGAGTACCAAGAGAGCGGCAGTGGAAAAGCAAATGGAAATCGATAGGTTCAAAGAGGAGCTTCCGCTGATAAAGAGAGAGATGAACTCCTTCATTTCGTTCTACAAGGATCGAATCATTCCTGAAATTGATAAGAAGAAAAAGGAGTTACAAATTTCTTTAAATGGTAACCGTGTATACTATGCCATGTCCCATTTCCATAGCAAAGAAATTTAACACTCCAACTTCTTTTTGCTTATTTAACACCTTGACTCTTAATCTTGAAGTGGTTTTGCCCGTAAGGTTTGGTTAAACTTGCCGAGATAGCTTTGGTGAGTAGTAAGACCTATTACACCTCCCTACTACTTTAACGATGATCAAAATTTAAAGTTAAACAATTTTCCTCTTTTGCATCATTAAAATTTTTTCCAACCTAATTTTTGGCGTGGAGATTATTCATTTGGAGATTGACTCATTTTATTGTTAGATGCTGTGGACACAGGTTCTCAAGTGTGTCAATTAGATGAGGATTGCACTACTGCAAGTAAAAACCACTTTGTGGAAAGAGTAAGATGCGATAAGGCTTATGCTTTATACTTTAGATGCTGGATCTGTCGTACTTTGTTTCTTGGTGCTGTTAAGTTTTTCAATATCATTGGTGATGTAGCTGTCCATGGCTGCCGTTATGAATAAATCGAAGGGTTGGAAACACCTTGGAAAATCGACTACCTCTAGTTACGACCACCACTGTTAATAAAAGCTCTCGTGAGCGTCTGCTACAACTTTTGGAAACCATCAACTGGTCTTTTTCCCTTTCAAGCTCTCAAAGGTTCTGAGTTGTATTGCTACTTGATCACATTACCTGTTATACAACTTTGCTTTATAAATCTTGTTGATGGGAATGTCCAATGTAAAATTAAAGATGATTTACAAACAAATAAGGAGTGTTACTCAAAGACCAAGGTGACCAAGCTTTCAAAAAGATCTCTCAAGCTGCCGAAATTTCTTGTTTCAGCGTGTAGTCGCTTACAAGAGCTTTGACTGTAGGGTGCATTCACGCACGCACGCACGCACGCACGCACACACATACCTATCATTGGAATTTAAGCTACGCCATGCTTATTAGGTTACACAAGCCGAAACAGCGCTCTTTTGTTTCTTTTATTTAGGTGTCAGACTGTGCTGCTCTTTCTATAAGTGGAAAGGTGACCAAGGGAAAGATTTCTTTGTTGGAAGAAGGGAAGGAGTTCTGCTTGAAGCAGATTGCAGCTGGCTTGAATGCTTTTTCGTTAGTGTTATCAAATGAGTTGCCGTCATTTAAATAGCTGGCTGTCAATTCCGAGGACGATGGTTCTGAGCAGGAGGAAGAGGATGATGTTGAAGATGTATCGGAAGGCGAAGAGGATGAAGGGGACGAAGACGACCTAGGTGATCTACAGGAAGAACAAGTAGCGGGTGCCATTCGAGCTGATGATGAACTGACAGAGTTCACTAATGAACTGCAGCCGTTTCCTCCTTTGCGTTCTGAGTTGATAGGTGAAAACATATATGTTTGGCGTTTCCCTCAGGACATCAGTCAGAGCACGTTTAACAAATGTAATGGAAGTAATGCATGCAGTTTTATTTCTATTGTTCTCGCATGCCTTTTTAAAAGGAAAAATATGCAGATTCCAGAGGAAGGATTTCTGCCTAGTAATGTACTCCGAATATTGTGCGGCTGTATTGAGATAGGAAATCGAATGTATGACATTTGTCAGGATAGCCTTCCCAGCAGATATCTGTCTGTTCAAGAAGCTGCTACTCTCGTATCCTTCTCTAATGTGCATGTGTCTGTAGCAGAGCCCTTACCAGTAAGATTGGAAGATGTTCACGAGTTGTCCACCTTGTGTGGGCAGTTACGTAAATTGACCGACGATAAAACCTACTTTTTAAATATTGTAATTAACGAGAAGACCTCTTTGTTTGTGCTTACTCTACCGAATATCATGTATATTGACACACATCTTCACGGATCCAGTGGTGCTGTCATAGTAAAAGGCTCCACATTGAATTTAAGTGACTTCTGTAAGTTTGTGTGGGCTTTGGAAGAACATGACCAAAGTACTTTTGGGAACCTTAGCGCTTTGACGTTTCCTTAAAGGGGAAGTATCATGAGCTGCCCATCTGAAAACTTGTTGGTGGAATTCGGTCACTAGTAGAAAACTAATTATTGTTTCTCTAAATTTCACGCTTGTAGAATGCTTACCTTCGTCAATGAATTTGACATTTAAAACTTCTCAGTACTGTGCTCTCCATCGGTTGAAGTGCAAATGTCTCTATTTCCAAAGGCATTTGTCTTAACAAAGATTGGACTAGTCTTCTTCAATTTTAAGTGTCGGGGCGACTTTGCAGCTCTTGCTACTTCACCTTGAAAGCAAATTGAACATAAGTAAGGCGTTGAGAATATGTTCAGGTTGCTGCCCACTAACAGCAGATTGACGATTGTTTGATGGCAATAGTGCCCTGCATACCCACGTCGCCAAGCACACGGGAAGGTCTCCACGCATAGGTAGCTCTCTCGTAAACCCCCTAGGCATACACGCATCTTGTAAATATCGTTGTACGTAGTTTTGCTCTTTGGGCGCTGGTCAACAGGACTTCAGCACAAGTCCCACATGTAAACAAAGCTTCTTTATTGAAAAATATACAGTGAACAGTTAATAATGCCTTGTCATTACTTTTGTTAATACCATTAAATATTAATTATAAGTTTATTATATACCTTTCTTAATCGGTTTTATTCCTTTTTTGGCACATATTAAAACCTGTTGTTGTTATTATCATGGTCTTGCTATGGCAATATCCATCATTTTTGCAGTTAGCGGCATCTACCGTTACATCGACATAAAGGCGTGGCCATGCCAATCAACGCAGCAAAATTAAAATTGGGTTAACATGTTAGTCATTTGATGAGGCAGGTTAAAAAGACCTTAAGGGTGCCCCCCTTGGTGTGGCTTAAGTAGATTGAGACCCAATCATTCCCTTGTTGAAAATAGGTTTTTGCTTTTTCTTTGCTGAACAAGGGCAAATGAAATTAGAACTGGTCTGAGAAATTTTAACCCCTTGATTCCTGATAAACGTCTTCATTTTACATTTGCCTGGAGCACACAAAATAGTAAAAAAAATGGGTGTCTATTTGTCACATAGTCATTTTGATAATAACGAAAGCGAAAAAAAAAAAATTATAAAATCACATTGAGCTTGTAATAGCAATATTTCCGACCTGGAGAGATAGACATCAATGTACGAATACCACTTGCACTGTTGTGTTAAAAGCTTCTCAATAGGCAATTCCCTATATGACAAGCGCCTGCAGGGGATTATGGTAGTTGCATTTATCGCTTCTAAGTCTTGGACTTCTTTTTATTTTCTTATTTCTTTTTCTTATTTTTTTTACCATGATTCCCTGCAGGCACGTCTTAGAGGGAATTCCCTATTCCCTTCATTTGCTGTAATGTGCTTTGTATCATGATATTGGATGCGGTGTGGGCAATATAAGAACCTATTCCTTTCTTTCCGTCATTTGCCGCACAGTGCTTGCAATTTGGGTGCGTTTTGGACAATATTACAGTGTATTTACATCGAGCTACGTTCGGATAGTAAATTCTCTGATGTGCGAATACGTCCTCACTTTCGTACATTTGCCGTTGAGTGCCTGCATATTGGGTGCGTTTTGGGCAATATTGGACCCTATTCACATAGATGTACGTTGGGGTTGTAATTTCTCTGTTGGGCCAATGGGTCATCACTTCCGTACATTTGCCGTAAAGTGCTTGTAAATTAGTTGCGTTTTTGGGCAATATTAGATCCTATTCACATAGACCTATACGTTCTACTCCCTCTTCCACTGTTCTGCGGAAAGGTCCTTGCCGTAATTTGCCTTAATGTGCTTGCATATTGGGTGCGTTTAGGGCAATATTAAACCCTATTCACATAGATGTACGTTTTAATCCCTCTTCCACTGTTCCGCAAAAAGGTCCTTTCTTTCCGTAATTTGCCTTAATGTGCTTGCATATTGGGTGCATTAAGGGGAATATTAAACCCAATTCACATAGATCTACGTTCTAATTCCACTTTCACTGTTGTTCGAAAAGGTCCCATTTTTCGTACATTTGCTGTAAAGTGCTTGAATATTGAGTGCGTTATGTACAATATTAGACCCTATTCACGTACTACGTTCGGATCGTAATTTCTCTGTTGTGTGAATGGGTCTTGTCCTTCAAACATTTGCCATAAAGTGCTTGCATATTGGCTGCGTCTCGGGCAATATTAGACCCTGTTCACATAGATCTACCTTCGGATCGCAATTTCTCTGTTGTGCGAAAGGTGCTCACTTTCTTCCATTTGCCATAAAGTGCTTTCAAATTGGTTGCGTTTTGGGCAATATTACACCCTATTCACATAGATCTACGTTCCAATCTCTTCTAATGTTCTGTCAAAGGGTCCTCTCTTGCCGTAATTTGCCTTAATGTGCTTTCATTTGGGGTTATTTTTGGGCAATATTAAACCCTATTCGCATAAATCGACTTTCTCATCCCACTTTCACTGATCTGCGAAAATGTCCTACCATTTGTGCATTTGCCGTAAAGTGCTTGCAAATTGGTTGCGTTTGGACAATATTAGATCCTATTCACATAGATCTACGTTCTAATGTCTCCTCCACTGTTCTGCGAAAAGGTCATTCTTGCCGTTATGTGCTTGCATAGATCTATGTGCTTGCATGTTGGGTGCGTTTAATTTAGGGCAATATTGAACCCTATTCACATAGATCTACGTTCTAATTCCACTTTCACTGTTGTTCAAAAAGGTCACGCCTCTCGTACATTTGCCGTAAAGTGCTTGAATATTGGGTGCGTTTTGTACAATATTAGACCCTTTTCACATAGATCATGTTCGGATCGTAATTTTCTCTGATGTGCGAATTTGTCTTCACCTTCGTACATTTACCGTAAATTGCCTGCATACTCACTGGTTGCGTCTTGGGCAATGTTAGACCCTATTCAGATAGACCTACGTTCGAATTGCACCAATTCACTGTCATTTGCCTTACTGTGCTTGCATATTGGGTGCGTTTTGGCCAATATAAAACCCTATTCACATAGATTTACGTTCTATTCCCAGAAAAGGTCCTTCCTTACTTTCCTTTTGTGCATTTGCCGTAAAGTGCTTGCAAATTGGTTGCGTTTGGACAATATTAGACCCTGTTCACAAAGATCTACATTCGGATCGCAATTTCTCTGTTGTGCAAAAGGTGCTCACTTTCTTACATTTGTCATAAAGTGCTTGCATATGAGATGCTTTTTGGACAATATCATTAGACCCTATTCACATAGATCTACGGCGGGATCGCAGTTTCACCGGTTTGTGCGAGTAGCTCCTCGCTTTCGTACATTTGCCTTGAAGTGCTTGTATATTGGTTGCGTTTTGAGCAATATTAAACCCTATTCACATAGATCTACATTCGGAATGCGCTTTCTCTGTCGTGCGAAAAGGTCCCCACTTTGGTACATTTGCCGAAAAATGCTTGCAGTTGGGTGTGTTTTGGAAACTATTCTGCGGAACGGTTCTTATACTTTCCGTCATTTGCCGTGATGCGCTTGCATATTGCTTGCGTTTTGGGCAATATTAAACCCTATTCACATAGATCTACAGTGCCAAGCACCGAACATTCACTGCGTAGGTTGAGTTCACCTGGCGAACTTATGACTTCAGGTAAGGAAGGTAGACACAACGGATACCTGCACGATCGACAATTGCAGCCTGGTATATCACGAAGAACAATGTAAAGCCTTAGATCTCTGCTAGGTCCCTAGCAGAGCATTTACAAGGCAGCTAGGGTTACCCTGGCGCTAGCAGTCATGTTAACCCTAGCTACCTTGTACACAAGTCATCAAAAAAGAGAAGAAGTGTGCAAATGCCAGGGTAACCCTCTTTTTAGGGTAACCCTAGCAATAGGGCTATCCCACCTGCTTTCGGCAATTGGTCCCCAGTGTAGTTCATTATTGGGTGCGTTATGTTGGACAAATGGACGCCTTTGGGATAGATATCTCTTTTCAAATTACATCTTTATTGTTGTGAGAAATATTCATTGATTTCCACGGTTTGTCGTCAAATTTTTGCATATTGGGTGTGTTATAGATACATATTAGATCTCGTTCACATAACTCGATTTTCACTTTGGTTCTGATGAATCTACACGCAACGGCAATGTTTTGTCTTGAACTGCCCATTACAAAAATAGGGCGCTTGCCGTTCACTGTAGGTCATGCCTGAAAGACAGCAAAGGATTTACCAATTCTGGGTATCCAAATTATGTTGCGAGACATTGCTCAATAAATTTTCACAATATTCTAGAATTCTACAGCGCTCGTTGGACCTTGTAATATCATGAGGGACATATCGTCAAAGCCCAAAAATTGGTAAATTTCGGAAAGGTGGTGCCTTTCCATTTCATGCTAAGTGTCCTAAAACAATGTGATTTTAATAAACATGTCTATGCGAACAAGGTCCAGTATTTGATCATAACACACACTATATGTAATTCAACGGAAATGTCTGAGAATACAGAATACGGAATACGGGCTATCTTACAAAACGGTTAGTCAACAGTCCTACTGTAGGTTGGTTCATTGTCTGAAGGACAGTACTTCATTTTTTTTCTTCCGAGAAAAAAAGATAAGCTACAAGAAACGTCACACTTTGCTTGTGCACTTCCATAATTTTTTCTACAAGCTGGTTTAAAAGGAATTAATCTAAGAAATATTTCATTTCAACCATAACAGCGCCGAAATTAATGTATTGTTGGTAACATGTATTGCTGTAAATTGGAGTTGATGTTCTTAGTAGCATAAAACGGAAGGCCTTAATTCAATGTATATACAAAGTACTTCTACAAATTTAACTGTTTAAAGGTAGGGGTAAAAGGAAGAAAGGTAAACCTCAGAAGAATATTCTGCGAAGTAACACAGCAAATAAGGCAAGCTTCTTTAGTACTTGACAGCTAATTACAAGTTCATTCAGTGAACACAAGGAAACCATTGTAGCCACATTACAGCAAAACACCCCCAATTTAAAAAGGAACAAAAAAAGTGATCCTCTAACACACAAATCATTATTATAAAGATGGCAAAAAGTCTCGACATGTCGTTATG